TTAAACAACATATAAACTAAAAAAAAAAAAGCCCCGGTTAAGCCGCAAACCGGTTAATCCGCCCCCGGATAATCGAGAGTTGACTGTACATTTAAAACAATTTTTATATTTACATTCTTTTTGTTCTTTACAGGAATATTTTGGTTATAAAACTTTTTAAGATGCAAGTAGCTGTCTTGCTTTACAATTAAAAGAAGACAAGATTGTCAGTCTGTGTTCTGGTTTTTAGATGCTTATTTTAGATATACTCAATCTTTATATCACTGTATACTAGTCTTTATTTAAATTTATTATACTATTAATATATGTTATACAAAATTCATTAATGACATTGTGTTTTAATTAATAGACTTGTATAAAACTGTACAAATTGTATAAGGTATGCCATTACATTACTACTAAAATTAACTTATTTATTATATTGTATATGTTTATCAGTATTTTGTTACAAATGTGTATGCTATTGGATGACAACTGTAATTCTTAGTTGTGACTGTAAGTAGGATAATCTCCACATCCTCATGAGAATGTATTCTCTACAGGATTTATGGAAGGTGAATAAATGAAATGAAATGAAATTAAGAAACAGAAAAGGTGGCCAAGGTCCAGCAAAAGGACTGTAGAGCCATGGATAGATCACTATTAATTATTTCCAACCTTTTCAGACTGTAAGTTACTACATGTTAAGTACAGTAACCTTGTTCAATTCGGCACTTTATTGCAGTGCACTGTTATGTCCACAATGTATATCGTGGCAAGTGTCATCCAGCTTTTCATGTAATAAAGTTATAAACTTAGGGAGAGCTGCAAGGCTGTGCCATAGCTCAGGCTCTTAGTTGCTGGTGTCCCACAGCATCTGCAAAGGTTTGAGCCCAGATCATGTCATGTGGGATTTGTGGTGGACAAAGTGGCACTGGGGCATGTTTTCTCCGAGTACTTCGGTTTCCCCTGCCAAGTCTCATTCCAGCGACTGCTCCACATTCATCATCATCTGTTATCCGGGACTAGTACGGTTAGGCCACATAATGGCCTAGGTACCAGCTGGAGTCTCACCCCACCTCAAGAAACTAGGCAGGGATGCACAGTTCTGTTTTAAAGAAGGGGACAGTAGTACCCTGGAAACATTTTTCTCATTTTACACAGGGTGTTGGTATTTCTCATGAAATGGATCTGTGTGTATTTCTTCCACAGATTCACTACCTGATGTGCCTTTCTGCCAACTATGCCCATATCCGAGATCATGAGAAGCTCCAAGAACTGCAAGAATTGCAGTATCTTCAAGACCCAGAATTGTCAGTTGCTGGGTCTAAAGATCGTTTCTAGGATACAGCTAAGGAGATCTTCAAGGAGAAAGAATGGGAGATGTTGCTCTCCTAGGACGGTTGTTATTGGCATTATGCTCGAGTTGGTAGGAACTGTTATAGTCGGGGAAGACACCATTACATTTTGATTGTGATGAATCCTGTCATGCAGGTTCCCCTAATGAGACTGACAAATGAATGAATGTTTAGGCTTACTCAGCGGTGTAATCATGTGGAATAGTTGTGTCCGTCCATCTGTAACCTCATATCAGCAGCATATGCATTTTATTTTCCCGTATAGCAAAAACTTGAAGAGGTACTTTGAACCATTCAAGCCTTGACTTCTCAAACAGTCAGTCAGGTCATGACTCCCTGTGGAGGTCATGATGTACTGTAATGCGAATAGCTGAATTCTCAAGAATTATTTATAATGTAGTTAGTTGTATCTGTGAACACTTTTTGCAAGGTTTCGTATCGGAGCTTTCAGAGGATGTAGATGCAGTCAAGATGCAGATAATGGTAAATGTGTAAAATTAACTGTAGTAGTTGGAAAGGGGGATTTATATTAGTGGGTCATGGTATCACAACGTTTGATAATTCCATGTTAAGCCAGTAAGGGTTGTCTCTTTACATGGAGACCTAAGTAAACTTTTACAGTGAGAATTCTTGTAAGGATGCACTGGGGCAGAATAGTTGGATGCTCTTGTCAAGTGAGGCTGATTCATAATGCACAAGTTCACTTCATGGCTGCACAGTCTAGAAAACTCCCTATATATTTTCGCCTAACTAAAGAGAAAATGTTTACATAAAGGTTGTGGATCCAGTGAGCCACTATTTTATTACCTTTGTTTTTGTAATTAATGCTGAGGGTAAAAATATATTTCAATATGAAAACATGAGAACAAAAAGGAATATGCTTCATTATTTTTATAATGTTATGGGAATGTCTGAATGTTTAGAAATTCATTCTTTTGGAAGTGGACTTACTGTACAGTAAAGATTACTGTCTGCTGGCCTTGTGTTCTGATAGTGCCATGGTGTCACAACCCAGAAGACAGAAATCTTCGTAGTCACTGCTGTGATTATTGTACCTTAGTGCACAGTACTGTATATCACAATGTTGTATCTTAGCATCATGTTGCAATTGGTATTAGAATTTATTTTCAGTTCACAGAAGTTCACCCCAAATTTCAACACCCCTGATAATGGCCAAGTAGCCCTACACTTGTAGTGCGGTAACAAATTTTAAATATTGATTTGTTGTATGCTGGATGGAAAACAAAAATGAAAATAAATTGTGAATACTGTATGTCACACATGAATTACAGACAAAGTAGTATACATATGATGATTGTGCATTGTTATGGATCAGGAAGGTGGTTATGATGAAAAGTGATAAGCATGGTGCAACATTTGCTATAAAATCTATATAATTTTTTTTTAAATTCCCTTAGTGGGAGGTGGAGTCCAACTGGGTCCACTTGGCACGCAGCCACTGACTGGCCTATTGTAGCCTGCCCCAAGTGATTATGATCAAGAATTTTGGCAGAATGAAGATTGGCAGGGGAAACTGAAGTACTTGGAGAAAACCTGCCCCAGTGCCACTTTGTCCACCATAAATCCCATTTGACCAGACCCGGGATCAAACCCGGGCTGCCACGGGGAAGCCAGCAACTAACCGCTTGAGCTGTGGCATGACCTAAAATCTATATAACATACATTCCTGCATGATGTGATTCTGTGGGTTTTTTTTTTTTTTATTTTACCAGTTTTAGTAGGCACATACTACCTCTGTCTTTAGGGTTGATGTGTAAGCTGAGTACAGAGATATCCAGTATCTCTATTTGAAACTGCTTATTACTTGCTTGGCTTTCCCGCCCTGAAGATGGTAGCAGTATGTTCTTCCAAAACGTTGGTAAACTTGTACCAGACTACATGGTGTGACATTCCAGAAAATGGTATTGTTGATGGTTGCAGGCTACTACAAAACAGAATGTAGTGTTGTGACATATGTTTTAAGACTTTAATCAGTGTGAAAACTGAATCTTTAATTTATAGTTGTAGTCATTGATGTATTTTATGTGTCTTTTTCTTTATAACAATCCATGCTGTTACATTCCTTTCATTATGACTGAGAAAGATGTGGCAGTGGAAATTTCAAACCCTCTACTCTAATCATTTATAAATGGAAAATAAGTAAACTTTAGTAAAGAAGTTTTCCCCTTTTGCCATAGAGAAGTAGGTACATAAGTTGTTGGTTTTAGCATTCCTCTTACTCAATTATGACAGTTTATGAATTTATAATAGTTTGAAGTTTTTGTGGTAGCGGTTGTTCAAAATGTGCTCGTGAGTTGACACCATGTAGTCTTATAGGTGGATACTTATGTTTTGAGGAACGTGCTGTGTCCATCATGTTGCAAATGGGGTGGCCACTGAGACGCACGGGCAGGGACAAGAAAGAAGAGTCTGCTCTGGACCAAATGAGAGAAGTGGGGAAGAAAACTGTCCTGTTAGGGGAAGCAGTACAGTCACTTTTTCATCAGGTGACAAGTACAAAAGTGGGGAAAATGGGCCTTTCTAGGGACAGTATTGTGAAATTAATTTCACTGCCACAAGACAAGCACAGCATGAGTTTCACATGTCAGATAGATGGGGTAGGAAGTGTGAGCTTATCAGAGGTTAATATCAGCCTCCGACTAGCTGTCATTAACAAGTGTCACAACAGTGTCTGAGAGTTGAAAATACAGCTCTAAGTTTGTGTGTTCCAAGCAGAGATCTTAGTGCTGTTCTGTGATTAATATTTCATTAGCTGTTGTTCATTAGCCCTTTCCAGTCGTCATGTTTGAAAAATTCATGTGTGTCTTAGTTCATGTTCTTTTTACCTTAAAAAGAGGACTACAGCATGTAATTTTAACATGAACTAAGACAGTGTAGCAGTTTTAACACAGTTTAATAAAATAATTGTAACATATCAAGACACCTGAAGATGGCCGTTTGGGGCCGAAACATGTAGTGGCAAGGTGTATATTGTTAAACTAAAAATTGAATGGTGAATGGAAGAGTGTTGCAATATTGACGGACAATAAATAATGAACGTTAACTTCATGATTGCAGTGGTATAGTATACAGGGGCAAGTAGTGATGTATGACCGACTTATCATTGGGGAAACGCGAAAGAAACTTTGCGATCATATGTCGACATTTGTCTGTGGGAGAACATGCCCAGTGTCAATTTTATATCAACATATGACAGGAAAGGGTTAGTCTTACAGTAAACTCTCAATTATCTGTAGTAATAGACGGGAGAATTAAATAAGTTAAATAATTCGAAACAATGGTTAATGCAAAGGTCTGTTCACCCATTCTGCATTTAAATCTGAAAATCATTTCAGTTACTGGTCAGGTTTCATTTCAATGATAGCAGGCTGTGGGAAAGGTAATAAATTAATACAACCGGAAGTTGTAACAGGGAATGAAGTCATACAATCTACTGTAAATTGTTAAAGCATCAGTGATATATAATACTGAGACAGATGTAATGGGCAACATTTAAATAATTACAGGAAGCTCTAATCAGTAACTAAAAATTGTGTGGTTAATCCACAAAGTGAATAATGTGATACACACAGATAATTGAGAATTTCCTATAGTCTGTTTATATTGTATCTCATGTTATGAGTACCAATGTTATTTTGATAACCATATTATTATTATGCATAACCATATAGCATTTATAATATTTCTTTGTTGCATCCTGTGTCCTGGGTGTTACATGTATAATTAATTTTGTGCCCAGTTTCACCAATCAACATATCAAAATAACTTGTTTTAATTATAAAGAATGCTTAGGGACCAGGAAGGCCCATGAACAATGATAAGACCCATGTAATTGTTTCTAGAAGATTTCTTTATTCAGATGGGTTTATGGGAATTGTCAATAAGTTTATTACGTAGTTATATTTTGTAATAATGAAATTTTACAAGTAAAAATTTTGATTACAATGTCTTGTTTTTCATATAGTTTTACTGTATCTTTCAATGTTATATTTGGTGTAGTAATTTTTGCATATTTATATAATATTAATGTAATGCTGAGGAGAATGTGTACTTGAGTGCAGCATCTGAAATTAATTGTAACTGCATTGTCTTCCAACCAATGGTCCATGGATCACTACCAGTTTACAGATTTCAGTCACTATTATTTATATACGGTGCAGTTTGGAAGTAACTGAACACCTTTAACACTATCAGACTTGGTTATTTTACTGTTTTACATAACTTGTTACACTTATACACACACACCTCAGGTTCCTTTGATTCAGTTATTCATTTGCTGTGTAACTCCCATCTGTGAAGCAACACATTTCCTACCTGTGCTCCTTCTCCACCCACACCCACTCCAACATGTGGGTGGTATTAGTGGAACAGCCTTTTCGATCCTAATTTATTATGAATATCTGATTTGTATCCTTAATCTTTCATGTGTCACCACCAGAAAATTTTCACAGATATGAGATCCAGAGAACAAAGTGACCAACTGTTTGTTCCAACTCAGACCAGCCCTCTAGTATGGAAAATTTTACTGGAATAGTTATGTGCTTCTGGGTTACAACCCTGTGTCATTTTGTAAGTGTTACAATTATATTGGGCTGTTCCATAGGTCAGGGTGTTAATGGCTGGCTTCCAACCACAGGGGCCAAAGTTTGATCCCAGGTCAGGTCATGTCAGATTTGTGATGGACAAAATAGCAGTGGGACAGGTTAACTCCAAGTAGTCTCGTTTCCCCTACCAGTTCTGATTCCACCAATTGCTCCACATTCATTCATCATCATATTATTGACGCTGTATAGTCTTCATACTTGCACTGTCATTATACAACAAACAGACGCATATGAGCGCATTGGTGCTACTTGTTGCGTCCGTTGTGAGGGAGACATCAGGTTCCTCTGATACAGAGGTAACCACCTGTAAGACTACAGTTTTACAGCCGAGAAAGTCACTATCTGAATTCTCCATGCTTGTGGTACACACAGGTCTTGACTGGCATGAAAAATCGATTTCTGCGGAACATACCTTGATTACAGTTTCAGTACTCGGTGAGTTTTCTTCATTTGACTCAAACAGCAGACAGTCATAACGTTTTTGCGCTACTCAAGCATAAAAAGCCATGTGGGGGATTTCTTACCATAATTTGTCACTCACCCAATCAGAATTATTGACAAGAGCCCTTTTTGAACCATATCCTTCCTTAGAATTTTCTACCAAACTGCATCTGGTTTTCATTTTTATGGATTTTATGACATATTTTTTTTACAGAGCTAGGTCATCAGCCTTGTGTCCAACCCACAACCTGGAGGACCAGGTCCCTGTATGTATGCCCTCCAGTCACGCGGTAGCCCAGTTATACCCCCGAGCACTGGGTTCCCTTTCTGTTGCCTTCTACAACTTGCAGGGCTGCAGTCAAGGTATTCTAACTGCCTCCACATGGGGATTGTCACTCAGCTGTTTTCTTATAACCAAAACAGAGCTTATTCTGCACCTGTAAAACATTACTTAAATTATTGTAACACCCC